TTATCAATTAAACCATTAACAGTTAAGAATTCACTTTTCATATTTGTTAATACTTTGATAGAAAACCCAGCATTTGATTCTCAAACTAAAGAAAATTTAACCTTAAAAGTTTCCTCGTTTGGTTCTAAATGTACACCAATGGATGATTTTATTAAGAAATTAACTAAACACACTGACATTATTGATAAGATCACAGTGATGAGTAAAGCTAAACAAAATTTACTTCTTAAAAAGACAGATGGAACAAAAAGTAAGAAATTAACAGGTATTCCTAAATTAGACGATGCTAACCATGCTGGTACTAAAAATAGTTCAGAGTGTACATTGATTTTAACAGAAGGAGATTCTGCAAAAACATTAGCTGTTGCAGGTCTTTCGGTTGTAGGAAGGGATAAGTATGGTGTTTTCCCTTTACGTGGAAAACTTTTAAATGTAAGAGAAGCATCTTATAAACAAATAAGTGAAAATGAAGAAGTTAACTCATTAAAAAAGATTTTAGGATTGCAACATAATAAGGTTTATGATACGGTTTAATCATTAAGATATGGACATGTTATGATTATGACAGATCAAGATTTTGATGGATCTCATATAAAGGGGTTGATTATTAACTTTTTTGATCATTTTTATCCATCTTTACTGAAGGTTCCTGGGTTCTTAAAAGAATTTGTAACTCCAATTGTCAAGTGTACTAAAGGAAAGGTTAGAAAGGATTTTTTTACCATTCCAGAGTATGAAACATTTAAGACTGAAAATGCAGAAACTATTAATTCATGGACTATCAAGTATTATAAAGGTTTGGGTACCTCAACACCTGAAGAGAGTAAAGAGTATTTTTCTAATTTAAATTTACATGTAAAGAATTTTATGGCGATTAAAGATGAGGATAAAGAATGTATTGATTTAGCTTTTAATAAAAAGAAAGCAGCTAATAGAAAGGTTTGGTTAAACAGCTATCAAAGTGGAACATTTTTAGATCAAAATTTAAGAAACATTTCCATAAAAGACTTTGTAAACAAAGAATTAATATTGTTTTCATTAGCAGATAATATCAGATCAATTCCATCTATTGTTGATGGTCTTAAACCGGGACAAAGAAAGGTTCTCTTCTCCTGTTTTAAAAGAAAATTAACATCTCAAATAAAAGTATCTCAGTTGATTGGTTATGTTTCTGAACACGCAGCTTATCATCATGGAGAAATGTCTTTATCGAATACAATAATTAATTTAGCGTATGATTTTGTTGGTTCTAATAATATTAACTTACTAATGCCAGCAGGTACTTTTGGTTCACGTTTGAAGGGAGGAGATGATCATGCTTCATCAAGATATATTAGCACGTATCTTAATCCACTAACAAGGTTGATTTTTCATGTTCATGATGACCCAGTATTAAACTACCTTAACGACGACAACCTGAGTATTGAACCAGAATATTACGTACCTATTTTGCCTATGGTATTAGTCAATGGAGCTGAAGGTATTGGTACTGGATGGTCTACATCAATACCATGTTATAATCCTTTAGATATAATTGCTAATATAAAGAAGCTAATGAATAATGAATCTATGGATGAAATAACTCCCTTTTACAGAAATTTTACAGGTGATTTTATACCAAACGGACCTAACAAATTTATTTGTAGTGGTAGAGCAGATGAAATAAATAATGGAAAAGAAATAAATGTTGTGGAATTACCAGTTAAGGTTTGGAATTCTACCTATAAGAAGTATCTTGATGAATCTATATCAAAAAATACTTTAACCAATTATTGCGATTATAGTACTCATAGAGCTGTTGATATTGTAATTAAACCAACCAATAGTTTTGACTATAAGTATCTTAATACATCAGTATCAACAACTAATATGCTTTGTTTTGACCCTAATGGTAAAATAAAGAAATATGAGGACCCAAGAGAAATCATTAGAGAATTTTATGATGTTAGAATTAAATATTACCAAAAAAGGAAAGAACATAGACTTAATCAATTGAACCTGGATTTAATTAAAATAAAAAATAAGGTGAGATTTATAAGAATGGTTGTATCAAACCAGTTAGTTGTTATGAAAAGAAAGAAGGATGAAATCTTTAAAGATTTAGAAACACATGATTTTGTAAAATATGATGGTGGATATACTTATTTACTTGAAATGGCAATTTATAGTTTAACTAAAGAAAGAATAGAAAAATTAGAGCAGGAATATGATGATAGAAAAAACGAATATGAGGTTTTAAATAAAAAAACAATCAAGTCTCTCTACATGAATGATCTTGATGCATTTGAAAAAGACTATTTAATTGTTGTTAAGAAAGAAAAAGAAGATATTCAAAAAGAAATTTATACTAAAGATAAGAAACAATTTAAAAAACCTAAAAATATTACCGGTAAAATAGATTTAGTTTCAATTTCTAAAGCTTTGAGATCAGATAAATCATTAAATAAGCTAAGTAGTAAAGTTAAAGATAGTAAAGTAAAAGATAATAAAAGTAAAAGTAAATTAACAGAAATTAAAAAATTGGATACTAAGAAGGTTAAAAAAAGTGCATCAGTTACTTCATTAATTTCAAAAGTGGGTCATTTAGACATCAGTGAAGAATCTGATA